CAACAGTGAAAAGAAATGTACGAAAGATTGAGAAAATTCGTGTTAGAATTATTAATCTTACTTTTTCGGTCATATTTAATAATATATGTCTACAGGAAAGACTGCTACCAAAATATACTAATATATATATATATATATATATATATATATATATATATATATATATATATATATATATATATATATATATATATATATATATATATATATATATATATATATATATATATATATATAAAGAGAGAGAGAGACAGCCAGAGACAGATCTCTCTCTCTCTCTCTCTCTCTCTCTCTCTCTCTCTCTCTCTCTCTCTCTCTCTCTCTCTCTCTCTCTCTCTCTCTCTCTCTCTCTCTCTCTCTCTCTCTCTCTCTCTCTCTCTCTCTCTCTCTCTCTCTCTCTCTCTCTCTCTCTCTCTCTCTCTCTCTCTCTCTCTCTCTCTCTCTCTCTCTCTCTCTCTCTCTCTCTCTCTCTCTCTCTCTCTCTCTCTCTCTCTCTCTCTCTCTCTCTCTCTCTCTCTCTTTATATATACATATATATATATATATATATATATATATATATATATATATATATATATATATATATATGTCGTACCTAATAGCCAGAACTCACTTTTCAGCCTACAATGCAAGGCCCGATTTGCCTAATAAGCCAAGTTATCATGAATTAATATATTTTCTCTAAATTTTTTCTTATGAAATGATAAAGCAACCCATTTCATTATGTAAGAGGTCAATTTTTTTTTATTGAAGTTAAAATTAACGTAGATATATGACCGAACCTAACCAACCCTACCTAACCTAACCTAACCTATCTTTATAGGTTAGGTTAGGTTAGGTAGCCGAAAAAGTTAGGTTAGGTTAGGTTAGGTAGGTTAGGTAGTCGAAAAGCAATTAATTCATGAAAACTTGGCTTATTAGGCAAATTGGGCCTTGCATAGTAGGCTCAGAAGTGAGTTCTGGCTACTAGGTACGACATATATATATATATATATATATATATATATATATATATATATATATATATATATATATATATATATATATATATATATATATTTATATGTATATATATTGGCCCATCTGATGCAGCAACCACACACAGGCCATATATAGTTGGTATGGGTATAGTTGGTTGGCATAGTTGGTATGGGACTACACGTGCGTATCAACCCTGGCTAACACCTACATTGACCTCAGTGTTGCACAACCAGGTGGCGCTGCCACCCACAGGGAAGCAGCCAAATCCCGTAAGTATAGAGAACTGGATCACCACTACAATTTTGTCCCCATTGCTTCTGAGACACTCGGCACTGTTAAGCTTGTCATTTAAGTTTATCATGCCCGAAACGCTTTGCGTACACCATTTGGTCACCATTTGGTCCGGGAGACATCTCCTGTCACGCAGGGTGCAGTTGCGCCTCCACAGATCTCCAGTATCATCTTTTGATACTGGTAATGGCTCAAAAGGGCCACCACTTACGGGCTATTCATGCCCGTGCCACCTTTTGGGTGGCTTAATCTTCATCAATCAATCAATCAGCTTTGCGTAATAGTGGCTTTAGGCATTGTATGTACTAGCTCTACCTATAAGTCAACCAATCTTTGTAAAAATTTATTGTATGTATGTACCTTACCTAAATAAACATTTTATTTTATTTTATTTTATTTTATTTTATTTTATATATATATATATGCAATTGACGATCACAAAACACTGATCATTTTATGCGGAAAATCCACAGAGAAATATGAAATGAGGTGAACGTTTCGGCTTTGTTAAAGCCTTTGTCAACACCAGACTGACTCAACACCAGACTGAGTCAGTCTGGTGTTGACAAAGGCTTTAACAAAGCCGAAACGTTCACCTCATTTCATATTTCTCTGTGGATTTTCCGCATATATATATATATATATATATATATATATATATATATATATATATATATATATATATATATATATATATATATATATATATATATATATATGTCGTACCTAGTAGCCACAACGCACTTCCCAGCCTATTATGCAAGGCCCGATTTGCCTAATAAGCCAAGTTTTCATGAATTAATTGTTTTTCGACTACCTAACCTACCTAACCTAACCTAACCTAACTTTTTCTGCTACCTAACCTAACCTAACCTATAAAGATAGGTTAGGTTAGGTTAGGTAGGGTTGGTTAGGTTCGGTCATATATCTACGTTAATTTTAACTAAAATAAAAAAAATTGACCTCATACATAATGAAATGGGTAGCTTTATCATTTCATAAGAAAAACATTAGAGAAAATATATTATTTCAGGAAAACTTGGCTTATTAGGCAAATCGGGCCTTGCATTTTAGGCCGAATACGACGTTCTGGCTACTAGGTACGACATATACACACATATATATATATATATATATATATATATATATATATATATATATATATATATATATATATATATATATATGTCGTACCTAGTAGCCAGAACTCACTTCTCAGCCTACTATTCAAGGCCCGATTTGCCTAATAAGTCAAGTTTTCCTAAATTAATATATTTACTATAATTTTTTTCTTATGAAATGATAAAGCTACCCTTTTCTCTATGTATGAGGTCAATTTTTTTTTATTGGAGTTAAAATTAACGTAGATATATGACCGAACCTAACCAACCCTACCTAACCTAACCTAACCTATATTTATAGGTAAAGTTAGGTTAGGTAGCCAAAAAAAGCTAGGTTAGGTTAGGTTAGGTAGGTTAGGTAGACGAAAAAACATTAATTCATGAAAACTTGGCTTATTAGGCAAATCAGGCCTTGAATAGTAGGCTGAGAAGTGCGTTCTGGCTATTAGGTACGACATATATATATATATATATATATATATATATATATATATATGTCGTACCTAGTAGCCAGAACGCACTTCTCAGCCTACTATGCAAGGCCCGATTTGCCTAATAAGCCAAGTTTTCATGAATTAATTGTTTTTCGACTACCTAACCTACCTAACCTGACCTAACCTAACTTTTTCGGCTACCTAACTAAACCTAACCTATAAGATAGGTTAGGTTAGGTTAGGTAGGGTTGGTTAGGTTCGGTCATATATCTACGTTAATTTTAACTCCAATAAAATAAATTGACCTCATACATAATGAAATAGGTAACTTTATCATTTCATAAGAAAAAAATTAGAAAAAATATATTAATTAAGGAAAACTTGGCTTATTAGGCAAATCGGGCCTTGAATAGTAGGCCAAAAAGTGAGTTCTGGCTACTAGGTACGACATATATATATATATATATATATATATATATATATATATATATATATATATATATATATATATATATATATATATGTCGTACCTAGTAGCCAGAACGCACTTCTCAGCCTACTATGCAAGGCCCGATTTGCCTAATAAGCCTAGTTTTCCTGAATTAATATATTTTCTCAACATTTTTTCTTATGAAATGATAAAGCTACCCATTTCATTATGTATGAGGTAATTTTTTTTATTGGAGTTGAAATTAACGTAGATATATGACCGAACCTAACCAACCCTACCTAACCTAACCTAACCTATCTTTATAGGTTAGGTTAGGTTAGGTAGCCGAAAAAGTTAGGTTAGGTTAGGTAGGTTAGGTAGTCGAAAAAACATTAATTCATGAAAACTTGGCTTATTAGGCAAATCGGGCCTTGCATAGTAGGCCGAGAAGTGCGTTCTGGCTACTAGGTACGACATATATATATATATATATATATATATATATATATATATATATATATATATATATATATATATAAGTTTGTGAGGGTACCACCTCTGGTGCTAATGTGGGGAATGTATATATATATATATATATATATATATATATATATATATATATATATATATATATATATATATATATATATATATATATATATATATATACATACATATATATATATATATATATATATATATATATATATATATATATATATATATATATATATATATATATACATAACTTTTAATATACATAACATAATATAGTATTTTTTATAGTATACATGTATTTTTTAATATACATAACATAATATATATATATATATATATATATATATATATATATATATATATATATATATATATATATATATATACATACATACGTATATATTAGACAATAGCCTAATTGTTGCTAATTAGGCACGATAATACAATTAGTGATTTCGTTTGTGTAATATATTAAGTACCGTGCTTGTATTACGGTGACTAAATAGTCTTGAGTTGTGTTGGGTGGTAATTTAGCAGAAGCTGCTCCAAGAAAGGTGTTTAAAGTATAATAATATTGATCTTGCTGGCCTCTTCATCATTTCATCACCATCATGCGGGCCCAGGTACCATGTATCTTTTTTCATCTCAGTTTGATCAGTAATTTTTTCTTGTGAACGTTTTTATATTTTAATCATACTCGTTTGACACTGTTATTTTATTTTGTATTCTCTGTTTTTATGTGAAATAACCTCGTACATTGTTAAATAAAAATGCATTACAAATATAACTGGCAGTAGGAAAGCGTGTAGAAAATGTAAACATATCTGTGATAATTCAAAACTCACTAGTTCTTCTAAATAATTAAGTAATGCTCTTATAATAAGCAGGTGCATTAATTAAGTCCCTTATGTATTTTATCTTATAACATGTATGTTTTTAAAAATGCTTAGTAACGATTTATAACAATAAATTGATAACAAAACTCGAGATTTCCCATGTTTACAGTCTGGAGTTAGTACATGCTTTCACGGCTACCAACGGATCAGTACTATCATGCATTCATACATTACTATATAAAAATAAATTAAAATATGCAGTTAAAATTAAATGATCAAAATCTTTGTTATTACGATGTAACTGTCTCAAATAAATGGTAAATAACAGTAGGAAAATAAAAGTGGAATATCTCTGTTGGGTTGGCAGCACGACCAAAATATCAACGCAAGCTCCATTATTGGAACGTCTGCCATCTGTATTTTGAAAACATTGCCAGTGTGGTCGATGAAGCTGTGAGTGACGCGTGTGTGTGTGCTTGTATATCACAATGGACTCTTCTTTACGCGAACAGGTAATGCGTTTTATCTGTATAGTCGACGTTGAGTGAAGCTTGCGATCTGAGCTTACCGGAGAGCATAAATGGCCGCTCGAAGGGTAAATGTTGTCAGAAATAATAGTGAAATATTCAGGGGGTCTTTTGGCAATCTCGCGGAGTGGAGTGTTGTTGGAGTAAGATTTACTGAGTGAGTGGGTTCATTTATCGACGTGTGGCCGGGGTAATGCGAGAGGTGTGGTGGAGCAGGGCATTACCCTCTGCCCACCTCCCTCAACCTTAAAGCTCTTGTAAACTTATTGATTTACATCACCACTGCTCGCGCCTATAGCAGAGGCTTTTACGATAATTGCTCGTAACATTGTCATTAAGTTAGGACCCTCGTTAATGTTTAACATTGTCATTAAGTTAGGACCCTCGTTAATGTTTAACATTGTCATTAAGTTAGTACCCTCGTTAATGTTTAACATTGTCATTAAGTTAGGACCCTCGTTAATGTTTAACATTGTCATTAAGTTAGGACCCTCGTTAATGTTTAACATTGTTATTAAGTTAGGACCCTCGTTAATGTTTGTATGTACATAGTCGGTGACCTAATTAAGTGCCTGGATGTTTGGGTGACAATATAAGGTGCTTCTCAGTAAGTGTCAGTGGTTTATACACGATAGTTTGATGTATCAAATTAATTAGCATACAAGCTATCACATACTCGATGATGTCTATTCAATAAAAGCGGATTTATACACACTATTACAGTAAGTCTTCTTAGTGCCTTCGCAAAACTTTAGTAATTTGTTATAGTGCAAGTAGTTTGTAGTTAAGGCAGTGATTGGCTAATGACACTATAAAGTGGGGCAATGTCCTCCATGTTTAGGGTCTGTTGGATGTCACCTCTCTTGAGGCTTTTCTCCATTCAATATTAGCACTCTGAAGCTGAGTGCATGGGCATACAGTATTGTCAGATTCCGTTACAAAGTCTGGGAAGAGTTCTCAGCATTTACTTGCAGTGTGGCCATTGCATTACTAAACATGGATTCACAGTGTTCTCCCAAGATTTCACTAATTTATATATTGTCACCAGTTTACTTACCTCCCCTTGAAAGTAAGGGGCCTATACTCTACTTGCAGTTTTTTCTTTGTTTATACTTTACCAGTATAAAGAAGTACTGTACAGTATTTCAGTAGTTCAGTTTTTATTGCATGGCTTTCAGTTATTTTGACATTTCTTCATTCTGATATGAGTTGATTTAGTTTTTGGGAAGAACCCTACAGTGCCTTTCTGAGTTTAACTTGGGTACTACTGAACCTTAGCCCAACATACCAGGTCCTTGAGACCAATCCATGTCTGCCAGGAGCCAGAACCATAATCTGGGTCGGTCTTTGAGACAAAGGGGGAGCATAGGATCAGAATTCAACTACAAAACTGGGAAAGCCCACCAGAAAGCATAACAAATAGGCAACTGCTTGAAGGAAATTAACAGCAATAGGTAAACAAGGCAATGACCTATGCTGTGGTGTAAATATCCAGCCTGAGAAGTGCTTGAACACCACCAGATGACAGCCCAGGTCACCCGAGGTCTCGGGCAGCCTGCCGCCTTACTCTTGCGCCTGGTGCCATCAGCCCAGGTTCTTGCAGTCCCTGGTGCACCCATCACCTGCTTCTGGCTATTCAGCTATGTGATGCTTTCTCTGTAAGGTTTGTTCTGCTGGGGAGCAGTACTTTGTTTATACAGTATTTATATTTCATGATTGTTTATGCCACCCAATCTGCATGTGCTTTAGCATTTAATTATGCCTCGACTGTAACCAGGGTTGCCTTCCCTAGGGTTGGCTTGCATTTCCCTATACGTATACCCAACAGAAATACATGGTTGCACTGAATTGTGGAGTTCCTGTTCTTTGAGCTGACTTCTGAAGTCACTTGCTTTATTTCTGAGCAGCGTGTGAAATTTATTCTCCACTGTGGTTAGGGCCTGTTGATGTGGACAAATCTTATCATTTTATTAAAAAAATTCCTTCAGTCTGTGTGCTCATGCACATTAAGGAGTTTACTATTATCCTGATCCTTCTATAGGTGTTGGAGGCCTTACGCTTTCACCTACGAGGGGTAGTGAGGGCTCTCCAGACCCTCTCCAAGTGTGGCGTGCTTGGATCACGTACAGTACATAAATATCATGATCCATTGCTGCTTATTCCCTCCAGCCATAAGTGTTTGAACTTGGGGGTTGTTGTTTGCTAAACCAAGGTACTTTCCCTGACTAAGGTTTATTGTCAGATATGTTTCTAGCCAGGTTGTTATGGCATCCCATCTGATTTTGTATAGACTTGACACAAGCATATTTGCCCTGCAGATTTTTTGGTTGTTGCATCTTCAGGTTTGTATATGGGGATACTTACTAGGTTTTTGTTTTTCGTTTGATTCCCAATGTCTCAACGACATTGCCTGAGGATCGTAGCAATTCTGTGGAGGTTAGTGTACCTGTAATATATAGACTGACTCCTCAGTAGCCTACCTTGCCTTGGCTGTATTGTTCTGGCATTGTTCTCTAGCATGTACCTAGAGAAGATGGAAGCATCATATAATTCTTCTTAAGTGGCAGTTATCATGAGATGATATCAGGGCTTAGTGTCCCCGCGGACCGGGTCGCGGAGACCGGGTCAGCCTCCAAAAAAAAAAAAAAGTAACAAGTTTTAACAAGTAACAAGTTTTTGTTACACACCTTTGGGTGTGTAACAAAAAGGCCTCCTTTTTTGTTACACACCCTCAGGAAGCAGCCTGTAGCAGCTGTCTAACTCCCAGGTACCTATTTACTGCTAGGTAACAGGAGCATCAGGGTGAAAGAAACTGCCCATTTGTCTCCGCCTCCACCGGGAATCAAACCCGGAACCTCATGACTACGAATCCGAAGTGCTGTCTGCTAAGCTGTCAGGCCCCTGTGTCACAAAGGTGCTTAGGAACACTAAGAAAGCCAGATTCAGAAAGGTGTTCCTGTGAAGCTATTAGGGATTTGGTTCTGGTTCATCTTCTTTTCAATAGAGGTCACTACAACTTTTCATTTGGCCAATCATAGTGCAAGTAACATTGTTCATGTTATCATCTTGTCAATCACATTGACGGTTCAGGTGGAAAACTGATCACATTCATTTTATATCACCTGATGTCTGTCAACAAAATCAGTTAACATATTCAACAAGAGGTTCATCTCACTTCTTGGTGTACCCAGTATATAGATAATTGATTTAGCTCTAAATTATGTTCTGGAATATAGTATACTTGTTGGTTGGCCAGTAAACTCCTGTGGAAGCCTTGTACAGTATATATATCTCCTGTGGTTGAAATATTGTTGGGATGGGGGGAGTCGCATTGAAGAACTAGTGGAGTGTTTGAAAGTGACATGTACATCAAGATGTTCCCATTTATCAGTGTATACACACACAGTTCACTTATTCCTGGATTATGCTGTAGAAAAAGTATACTTGGTTGTTGGTTAGTGATTGTCAGTTGGTCATTTGCACAGAAGAATAACAACATTCTGGAGCGAGAGACTTGGAAGGAAGTGCAGAATAGAACCAATGAAGAGTCTACCAGTCTCCGTGGTGTAGTGGTAAGACATTTGCCTGGCGTTCCGCGAGCGTTTTGTCATGGGTTCGTATCCTGGCCGGGGAGGATTTACTGGGAGCAAATCCTTAACTGTATCCTCTGTTTAACTCAACAGTAAAATGAGTACTTGGTTGTAAAAACGGTTCTTCAAGGTGGGGATCGTATTCCAGGGACCTGTCCGAAACGCTACGCGTACTAGTGGCTGTACAAGAATGTAACAACTCTTCTATATATCTCAAAAAAAAAGAAAAAGAAAAAAAGAGTAGAGGTGTCATGGACACAGAGAACACTGTGTAGACATCAGAGGTCCACAGCTGTTCAATACCCCTCCCAGCAAGCATTAGAAGTACAGTATTGCTGAAACAAAGGTGGATGTATTCAAGAGGCACTTTGATAAGTCCTTACAAGAAGTGCCGAGCCAACCAGGCTGTAGTGGATATGTGGGCTGTCGGGCTGCTCCAAGCAACAGCCTGTTGGACCAAGTTATTACAAGTTGCGCCTGGCCTTAGGCAGGGCTTGAGGAGTGGATGAACTCCCAGAACCCTCTCCAGGTATGCTCCAGGTAGTGAGCTGCCACGGCCTTTAGTAACTTATCGTGCAGTTCGTAGGCCTTGCGTTCGATAATAAACAAGTAAAGATGAAAGTATTGGTGATATCCAATATAATAAGGGAGTATTTAGAGGTTTTAATATGGTAAGGGAAGGTCATGTTTAACTATTAAAACTTAATTATATTATTCAAGAACAACCTGTGTATTAGAAATATTTTATTTTCCATTGTTTTTAAATTAATACTGTAAAATCATTTTTAATACCTGGTGGTTAATTCTTCTATAACTTTCTTCATAAATAGTTGTACTTTTATAACTGACATACAGTACATTGTAGTTATAGCACTAAGCATGTATATACCTGCATGTTCAAAAATGTATATGATACGCTGAGTACGTATCTCTTGTGTGTTGCAGGTTATGATCAATCAGTTTGTTATGGCCGCGGGAGCTACCAGAGAACAAGCAAGACAGTTGTTACAGTCTGCACATTGGCAGTTTGAGGTATGTTATGCATTGACTCTGCTTTGTGCTCTTTACTCCTCCATCACCATATTTTGTTCCAAGAATGTAGCCTTTGTTGTTTTTGTTGACCTTGAATATAGTAATTTAATGAACAAATCCACAAAGGCCGTGACGAGGGTTCGAACCTACGTCCGAGAGAATCCCAGACGTCCGAGAGAATTCCAGTCGATTAATCGACTTGTGGCCCACGGCCCTTGTGGATTTGTTCTTTTGATGTATCACGCTGTTGTGATTTCTGTGTGTAATAGGCATTTAATGTTTTCATTTTGCCTGCTTTTGATCCTTTTGGCTACTTCTTACAATGCTATGCATGTTTCTCATAGATCACATGTGAAAATATTGTGTTGAACGTAGTGTGTCAGGAAATGATGTGTCACCTAGCCAAGTTGGGAACCGCATTTTCCCAGAATAATACATACACAGTGCTCCATCCAACCCTTTGAGACTGGGGCGTGGATGGTCGTATTCTCTACATGTACAATACCACATACAGCATTTTGTCAAGAGTATTTGATCTAATTTTGGAATGCACATTAACAAAAAAATGTATGTTTAGAACATCATTGTACAGTACTATGTTCAGATATATGAATGTATTCACCTAGTTGTGTTTGCAGGGGTTGAGCTTTGCTCTTTCGGCCCGCCTCTCAACTGTCAGTCAACTGTCTATTAACTACTATTTTTTTCTCTCTCCACACCACACACACACACCTCAGGAAGCAGCCCGTGACAGCTGACTAACTCCCAGGTACCTATTTACTGCTAGGTAACAGGGGCATTCAGGGTGAAAGAAACTTTTTCCACTTGTTTCTGCCTGGTGCGGGAATGGAACCCGCGCCACAGAATTACGAGTGCTGCGCGCTATCCACCAGGCTACCAGGCCCCCATTAATGTTAATGTTATCACTAATAAACATTAACAGTGATGAAAAAATTTACTACACTTCTGTAATGTTTAAATAATTGTGATAATAATTAATAGTGATAATTGTTAATACAGTATTGTACTTAGTATGTAATATTACCTTAATATCCAGCGTAGTAGTGATATTATATGTTAGTACTAAAAGCTAGTTCTTTTAATTTAACTGCCAATTTCTGGTACAGTACGTGTTGAGAGGTGTAGCAGTATGCTGAGTAAAGCATACAATGTCAGTATTAATGATTAAAGTAATTGACTTTAGAATTTATTGTTTCCCAATGATAAATACTGTAACACACTTGAAGAAAGATTTCTGTCTCGTATCATTACACAAGTAGTGGATATAAAGTCTAAGATAATTAGCATTGATGTACAGTTCTAAGATAAATAGCATTGATGTACAGTCCTAAGATAAATAGCATTGATGTGCAGTCCTAAGATAAATAGCATTGCCATAGTGTCGTTGACAAATTGCATCTAGGATAAATAATACTGGCATTCAGTTCTAAGAAATAAATAAAATTGACTTACAGTTCTTAGGAAAATACAATATGCAATATTTTTATCAATACACTGAGATGCTCTTCCTCTGCTGTAAGGGTTTGCCACATTCTGTAAATAAAAATTTTCTCCAGAGTTTCAGCTTATGACCCAAAAAATGTCGTAGATGTCGTGGGATTTATATTTAAGGGCTCTAGCTTTAGCGGCAATGTATTTTCTGTGGGGGGGGGGAGCCCGTTCGGCTCCCCGGAGCTTACTAGGCTGGTATGCTGATGTCAGGCTTTGGCATCAGTCATGTGTATGGAGTTCTGTGGGCCTACCGGGGACCACGAGCCAGAACCGGGCCCCCTCAGAGAGGCAAGGGGAGCAATGGCCCATAGAAACCCCCATGTAGTTGGAAGCATTCTATGTCTGCCATCGACCGGGTCAGACACCCAGAAAGGAATGCATCCCAAAGCAAACCAATATTCTGGTGAAAATATTGCTACCAATAGCCGAACAAGTGGATAGAACTCCCCCAAAAGAAATGAGCAAACGAGCATGATGTCACATGTCACCGTGCCGCTGTCTGCGCAGCTCCCCCCAACTTGGGAGAGAAAAGGGGAAGCCCCAGACCCCTCGCACCGGCTATCCACCCATCAGTTCTCAGGCTGATGCTAGAGCCGGAGGTCGTGTGCTTGGCTCCAGCGTTTCCAGCACTGTGCTTTGAGTGTGGTGGCTGTCTTCCAGGCGTGCAAGAGCCAGGAGTTATTCTACAGTACTCCGGCTGCATGTGCCTAGTGTTCTCGTCCCAAGGTGTCCTGTAAGTACTGCTCTTGGAGCTTGGGGTTCCCTTCCACAAGTTCCTCGGGGTCTGCCTCTGCTAGGCAGTATCACTGCTCGGTTTTTGGCTGCCCTTTGGGTGCTTAGGGGTTTTATCTTCCTGGTTTACCTTAGGGGTAAGAGGCAGCTTGCACTGGTGGGGCGCAGGGTACTGCGCAGCTTGTTTTCACCACTTACAGCGGCCGGCTCTGTTTCTTGGGGTACGTAGTCCTCTTGCAGGGTTTTATTTTACTTTTTGTTTTTGCCTTGTAGGGGGGCGGGGTCTGCCTTGCTTCGCCCATTTTTTTGGTGCCTGACCTGTGCACGGTTCTCCTCTGGTGGTGCCCCCTGCCAGGTCCCCGTCAGTGTACACGTCCCGGGGGTTCAGGTTTAGACAGTTGTTTGGTAGTTTTGGGCGGCGGTTAGCAGTACCCGGCCTGGGATTACCTGGGCGTGAGCTTCCATTAAGCGCTCAGGACCCTGGGAATCCCTTGGGGGCGCGTGGGTCCGATGGATGTGTCGCCGGAGTCCCCCCTCGCTTCGTGCGAGTTCTAGGGTTGTTCGGTCCCCTTGACTCAGGGTGACCCTCACCATTTTTGCCTCCATCATGCTGCCTGTTGGGTCGGTGATACCTTCAACCCGGAGTCATGCAAGTTCTGTTGCTTGCTCGTGACTCAGTTTACCCAATCTCAAGATGATGTTCTATATGTACGGGCAGTGCAGGCATTGCATGCTCAGTTTAGGTTGTTGCAACGCGCTCAGTTGGTTACTCACCTGGATGCTCCGAGGCTGCCCTGTTTTGCTTATTGGGTCCCTGACTTGGGGGTGGGGTCGCCTCGACCTTGGTTCACCTTTGCACACCTTCGTCCTTCCTATACTGTGGTGCATCCTGGTTTCCCCCCATCCCCCTGCTTCCGGCCCCAAAGCATCTGAGGGTTTCGGAGTCGGGGCAGGGTTTAGATGGTCTTGAGTCTCGGGCAGTCTCGGGGGATCCCCCTTCTGGTGTGGTGACAGAGGCATTCGAATCCACTCTCCCTACCAAAGCCTCTGGGTCTGACCGGTGGACCCCCTTCTATTCGGCTTTCTCGGCTGCACCGGCTTTTTCTTTAGTGGCTGGTGCTCTTGGGGATGACTCGGCCCCGGGTCCCGAGGAGGGGGATCTTAGGGCTGGGGAGGGGCTGACTTGGGGGCCTTGGGCCCCGCTAGACCTAGCCGGAGTTTTTCTACTCTCGGAGCGGGGCTTATTGTTACAAGGAGTGGGGTTCTCTTTCCCCACCCCCCTCTGCGTACGAGTTGGATTTGGCGTCTGCCCCTCCCTGGGTTCGGTTCTGTGTTCACTCGGGTGCGTCGGTTCTGTCTTTCCGGATGTTTTCGGTTTCCCGCATCCAACCGTCTGCGGTGCGGGCAGCCATGGCGTCTTACCTCCTGCGTGACCCGGATTACGCCTCGGTGATGGATCTGTCGTCTTTGAGGTTTGGGAATTTGTTCTCTTCCTGGGTCCGTTACGAGGTTCCGGAGTCGTCCTGGCTGGCGGACTGTCCTATTTTTGCTTTGGAGGCTTGGCAATCTTTCTGTCGTTCCCCGCACGCTCTCAACGGTGGTTCAGGTTTTCCTGGGGGGTAACCTTTAGCACCTCAAGAGTGTTTGTTTGCTCCTGCCCTTCCCCGGGATGTTGGTGTGCTGCAGCGCCATGTGCAGGTTCCCTCCCTTTCGGGTGCGCAGGTGACTGAGGACTTGCGTGCCCGTGGCCTCTTGACTTCGGCATTGCGCTTCTTTTCCCTCCTGGAGCGGTCTTCAGACTTGGGGAGGATGTGGGGGCGCTCGGGGCCATTCCAGGGTCCAGTGCCTTCGGCTTGGCGACGTGCGTGTCGTCTGTCTCGTTGAAGCTGTTTGCGTCGATCTTGTGGGATACAGTTTCCCTGTTCTACGCTTCCCGGCTTGCTTGTCGGCAGGTGGTGCTTGCCTCCTCCTTGGAATCGGCATGGGCCCTGGCTCTTACGATGTCTTTACCTTTTTGTTCTTTGCTTTTTGCTCCTTTGGCCGTGGCACAGTATATTCAGGCTGCTTCGGCTAGTTGCCGTCCAGTGCTGGACGTGTTGGTTCTCCAGGGGTCCCATTGGGGGCCTCTCCGGTGAGGTCGTGCCAGGGCTCGGGGTTCCATTCATCGTGGTAAGCCACTGGTGCCATTTTCGGGTTCGGCTCTGCCTTCGGACCCGCCTTCGTCTGGTTGGCGCGGTGCTCGCTCTGTGCGAGGTTCTGGGTCTCGTAAGGGGTGCCGGCACTTTCGCGGTTCGCCCCATTGATGGGGCGATGGGGGGGAGGCTTGTGCTGTTCGCTCACATTTAGTCTCACAATTTGTGGGCATTTCGGGTCATTTCCTTCGGCCTGCAGTGGCGTTGGGTGGCCCTTCCTCCTTCGGGGGGTTCAGGGCTGGCGGGGCAGACCTCTTCTCCTGCGCTCCGTCGAGTTGTCTTGGAGTGGGTTCACTTGGGCGTCATCGAAACGACGTCATCCCTCAGATGGGTTTTCCATCTGAGGGAAACGGGAATGTGTTTCGAAACAGGAATGTGCAGACCTGAGGTTCATTCTGGACTTGTCCCGTCTGAACCCCTGGGTTCATTGCCCCTCCTTTTCGATGACTACGCTATCTCAAGTTCGGCTCTTGTTTTAACCGGGTTCTTGGATGGTGTCCCTGGACCTCCGGGATGCTTATTGGCACTTCCCGATTCATCCAGGGTTCAGGGACTGGCTCGGTT